GTGCAGTGATTCATATAAAAAATATTGGTTATCTCCCCTTGGTTAATATGACCCGCTGACAGGGAGATGGGTCCATTTATCTGATAATAATGGGTAAGACCCAAATTTAGGCACCAAACAGTCTTCAACTCCAGTGAACTGAGGAGATGTGTTTTAGCCTACTCCAAGAACAGGTGATGCTGGCCACAAGAAAACCTGAATAATGCAAAGAAAAGCAGTCATTTGAAGAAGAATATGAGTGGCCACAGATAAGTATTTCACTCAATTTCAAACAGATACATGTATTAGGATTTCATCCCTGATGCCATGACTTTAACTGCTAAAGGAAGATGTTTTAGCAATTCTCTATTCTTATTCTCGTTGTATAATGTATTTATTATATAAAGTATACCTTTTAAACGGTTTGTCTCATCTTTGTTCATCTGCCACAACTCAATTTGGGGAGTTGCTAAATGTCCCACAGTCACTCTCCCAGAGGTTAGCATCAGCCATGCTGATGGAAAGCAGAAAGGGGTCTCTCAGATGATTTTATAGAGATCATTTCCAACATATTTCAGTGAAATTTTCACTTTACAAAATTACTGTTTATGATTATATTTTAGATATTTGGAAAAAAGGCATCACTTTAAATTGAAGCCAAAACAATACAAGTTAAAAAACAAAATTATATTTTATGTATTTATAGCCCTCTATTTTTTTATCAAAAATGTTTAAAAATATCTCCATAATCTTATATACAAAATTCAAGTATGTTGTAGGCCAATGTTTACCCAGATGCCATCAACAAGTACTTGTATCTAACATAACTCTGTAATAATGGAATATTAGATGCAAATAGAGTGAAGATCTTGTGGATATGTGTGAGAGTATTTGGTATTCAGTATAGCAAAATGTCTGTTTATAAGGCGGATATTGGTAGTTACTTGGTGATGGCCCAGTAGTGTAGATTTCAAGTCAGACCATGCTAGGGGTAGTAGTAATATTAGAAATAGGTCAGTGTCAATCTGCTGTATGTTTCTTGGCCTTAAGCAGGACAGAAATATCATTAGCAGATGACCTTTTAGCTATTACTTCACACATCATACATGGCTGGTTTCTAGCATCTTTTGTTTGCCACACTTGCCATCTCTTGCTTGTTACTCAGAGGTGTCAGCATATATCCTTTTGACCAGGCTCCAAGACTCTGGTGCAAACATTGGTTTCAGCTAACATCAAAAGTCTGTTTTTGTTGGTTTTTTTGATTGGCCCAAATTATTTTCTGGCATTCCTTTCTTTTTTTTTTTTATAACAGAAATTATGTGTGAGCCTCCCTGATATTTGTTAGTTTTCAGTCATAAATTAGTAGGCTCTGATCTTGTAAACTTCTGGCATTTTTTGGCAGGGTTCAGGCTCTTTACTTTTTATTTGAGGGTTGCCTTCTCGTTAGTTGAGAGAAGTATAGAAAGAGAAGTTTAGAGAGAGAGAGAGAGAGCAAGAAAGTGATAAGGGTCTTAAAGGAAAGTGCAAATAGCTTATTTTAATTTGAATTCTTTTTATTTTTGTTTATATATTTTATTTTTACTGAGACTCACTACAAACGATTCTGAAATGAGAGATAGAGAGAGAGATAAGAGTTTTGAAGGAAAGTGTGAATACCTTTTTAATGTGAATTCTTTTTATTTTTATTTATATATTTTGTTTTTATATTTTATTTTATATTTATCAGGACTCACTACAATCTTATATAGCATCAGTAGACAAGTAATAAATGCAAACTGATTCAATATGTAAGTAATAAATATATTTATTATTCCCAGTGTAATATTTGAAGAACAAAAAAAAAAAAAAAAACTCCTGTGTATAAAATCAGTTTCAAAAAATATTGTCACAAAAGTAGCATAAGATAAAACTGATTTTTTCAGAGAGCAGAGCAGAAATCATTTTCTTGGTTTTCCTTGAAAACTTTGTCACTTCCCAAATTCTATTGAAAAATCTTATACTTAAAATTTGATCATGTTTTTTTCTCAAATTCTATATTGAGGTTTTAATGACTCAAATTATATCCAACTGTATAACATTTTTAAAATGTATAATAAACTTTTAAAAAACATCTAACATAGAGTATTAAGAGTCAAGGCTTTCTCTATTCAACATTTTAATATGATTTTATACGAAGAGCATATTTCCAAACAAATTACAGTAAAACCTGACCAACTGAAGAGACATTACCATAATCACAAATTGGTTTTACATATCAGCAGTTGGCTCACTCAGTAAGAATTTCATGTTAAAAAAACTAAAACTATTTTCAAAAATATATTTCAAAAGATGAAAATAAAGTGTAAAATAGCAAAACCGTAAAATATAAATGAAGATAAAAACACATTAGCATAACATAAATCTTTAATAATGGCAATAATTTGAAAATATTAAAAAAATAAATGTATCAATTCCAATGTCCTCAAAGTCAGTAAAGTCCAAATCATCGTTAGTAGAAAAGCTCAAATTAATAAAAGTCCTGCTTTGACTATTATTTACCAGGCCTATGATCTTGCCGAAGGATGAAGACTTGAATAAAACAGTTCACTAAATGGAATAAGCCTAATTGACTTAAATAGTGATGCAATCCAATCATAATATTTTGACAAGTATACATCAAAGTCTCATTGAACAATAGGATTCCCAAAATTTAACTATTTTTACTAATTTACTGTTAATTATAATTATGTTGAATATAGTTGCTTATTAAAGGCAGATCTAACACAATAAGAGGCAAGGTTTTTTTGCTTTTTTTTTTTTTAACCATTTCACCCCATACAAGACAGTAAAGCCACTAAGCCAGAAGAGGTTACTGAGTATGAAAGAATAAGGAAAAGAGAAACATTAACGAGCGAGACCAATAGAAGAGTAATCAAGAAGACTGGATAACAATTAACATTGCATTTATATTTTTCAGGATCAAAGTTGGCTGGAAAGCATGGAGCCAGAAACAAAAAAAGAAAAGAAACTTAACATAGAACCTACAGTTACTTCTAGCCAACTCAACTGTAAGTTGAGAGCTTGTTGCCAATCAAGTACTGCACTTAAATTCATAAAGTCTAAGTACCATAGTGTAGTATCCATTTGAACAATTACCATAAGGGTATTTATAGAAAAGGCACAGAGAAGTTACATTATAGTGGTGGGAAAGAAACTGAAGCCAAGATGCCAGGTCAAGACCAATAATATTGCTGATTCTTTGGATTTTATTAAGAACATACAGCAGAAGCACCAGATCATATGTGGCAGAAATATTCAAAACATGAACGATTGATAGACTTATAAATATGTAAGATAGATTCTGGAGAGAAAAGTGAACCAACATTCTAAGCAACAAACCAAGCAATGGATTCAATATAACCTTTCTACTTTACGTCAGTTGAGAATGCACAACGAGTCACTCTCTTGGAGGTTAGCATCAGCCATTCTAATGGGAGGTAGAAAAGGGTCTCTTAGATGATTAATAGAGAGAAGTCTCATTTTGGAAGCATTAAAATTAACAAGCCATTTCTTGCCCCAGTTAACAGCAGATTGTAAGTCATTTTTGAGATCAGCTGCCAATTTACCCTTATTGAACTGATCAAACTTACTATTAAGACAGGAGTATATAGTTGTGTCATCAGCATAGATACCAAGTTGAGAACTGATGCCATCAGGGAGATCATTGATGAAAATTAGAAACAAAGTAGGTCAAAGGATAGAGCCCTGGATGTATCTGCATTAGGACAAAAATATCTAGAAGAGTGGCCGTTCAAGACAACTTTCACTTTTCAATTTGATAAGAAAGAGGGAATCAATTCAAAAATTAATCCAGAAATACCATAATCTTTCAAATTGTAAAGAAGACCAGTATGCCAAATCCTTCTGAATGTTTTTGGAATGTTCAAAGCAAACAAACTGAGCTTCACCATTCTTATCTAAAGCTTGATAGACTCTTTCAGCAAGAATCATTAATACATCAGCAGTTGACCTGGAGAAACAAAAGCCATATTGCTTGTCTGAAAGAAGGCCTTGCAATGTAAGATGCTTAAACACTTTAGAGTTGATTAGGGCCTCTAGTAGTTTACCAAAATGTTGTGGAGTGATTTCACAGTGGAGGCTTGTATTTGTACTAAGATGGTCCTAAAATAGGTTCGACGTACAAAACGTTAGGAACTTGATAATAATAGGTAATGATGCAGAGAAATCTAGTTGTGGTCGCTGATACTTTAGTATCCGACTAACGGTCGTCTGGCATCGACTGACTGACTGAGCCACTGAGCGACTCACTCTTACCACTCCTACTTATTATAGGTGGAAGAGTCTATTAACTATAGAATAGGTGTGTTCCACTATAACACAAAAAGAGATAGAAGGCTAATAGGCTGATAGAAGGGTCAGATGGATCACCTGAATTCTTAAAGACTAACAACAGAAGAGGATTTCCAATAAGCAGGTAAGAAAGATGCAGCAAGGCATTTATTGTAGTTTTTATTAGTTGTTATTCTTATTTTTTCTTTAAATTCATTCTTTGCTATAGTAATTATCAGAATTCCATTTAGTCACCTGTTTCATCCAAGTCATTGTCTTCTTCCAGGACCATGTGTCAGGTAAATGGTAGTAAAGCCATAGTCTTTAACTACAAAAACATTTTTGTCTTGATTTACTAGTAGGTTAAATATCTATTTTATGGTTTTAAAATAGGATGTCAATTTCCAGGTAAAATCTTCTGTATATATCATAATATATAATTGGTTGCCAATTATCTGTTGATTTTACCATCCAGGTGAACATATCTACCAAAGAGATGTCCTACTGTAGTTTTAATTTTGAAATTAACACCTTACTTTATTTCAATATTTCATTTCCATGGTCCACAATAAAGATTTGTTGGTATCAACAAAAACTGGTTTCTTTGATCCATCATACGTGTTGCTAGTACTGATAAGATGTCCAAACTCCAGTTGTTGACCATCTGAAAGAAAATGTTACAGTCAAATAATTGAAAAAAAAGAAAAAGAAAAAAGGATTTTACAGTAATAAATCAAATCTATAATATTTTAATGTTAAAAATACATTTTCTTTTCATAAGAATTTACATTATATACATACAAACTAATGTCTTAATCTCTGTGGGTGTTGTTATTACTATTTTAGTTATTGTACCCTCCATGCTGTAACAGTCACCAAAGAGTCTGGTATATGTGATACCAGGATTAGTGACCTTGATATTTAGTAGCAGTAAGGAAGCATGGTGGAGTAATGAATAGCGACTTGCATTGATGAATTGGAGAGATGAGTTTGAATTCCAGTCGAATCCACTACATTCACTAATAACCTTGGGAAAGGTATGAATCCTCTTCTCCCCCAGCTATGGGTAAATAGTAGGACAGACCGGGTTTTATAGCCTTGGATGGCAACTGGTCTACTGCAGAAAGAAATGGCAAACTACTGCAGGAAAAAATCTGCCTCATCAGTCATGTATCAAAAGATACATGATTGCCTAAGTATGTATCACATATGGCACATAACTGACTGAAGGTAGTAGCAATAAGTATTAAAATGATGAGGATAATTTTTAATATTCTGTAAAAATATAAAAAGAGACATTTATCATACATACGAGTTTAGCTGTAATTTCTGTGAGAATGTCATCATGTGATCCCTTAGAAGTAAGGAAACTACCATATATTCTTTAGCTACTACTGTGTCAAAGAGGCAACACAGTAATAGGTGTCCCATTCCCACTGCTAAGTCTGGAATTCTCCTCTCAGACATCATGTGTCCCTTTATCATTTCTTTGAGTTTGTTTCAAGTTGTTATTGTTTCTGTTTGAAAAGTGTTTTCCTTGTGTATTTCTTTGAAATGCATTTTGTTTATGATTTTCCTCTTTTGAGAGATATGTTTATTTGTTTTTAGTTTTCATGGTGTATTTCCTAAATGTTGGTTCCAATCAAAATAGTGAATGATTGCAAAACACTTTCTCCTTCCCAATTTATAGGCAGAAGCACACAAATGCATGCTGGGATTTCTTCCTAGCCAATAAAATAGGACACTTGTCAATGTCATCTGATTCAGTCTGTCTTACCTTGAAGTCAGAATGCTGTGATCATTCATCCAAATTTGCTTTTGTCTGTCAATCCCTTTGTGTACTTTTTGCCTTATTAACCCCAATTCTTAGTTTGTGTACTTTTTGCCTTAGTACCGTTAATTTACCATGCATATATTGTTTGCTTGCTTTATATTTTTTTGCCTTATTCTTGTTTATTGCTGTGGGTTATCCCACTTGACTTTCTTAAAAACACGGTCACTAGGAAGCGCTCCTTAAGCCTATGAATAGGGAATGATATTCTTACTCATCCTCTTTTACAGCTCTGGCAATAAGATATAGTTGTACATGGAAAAAAAGTGTCCTTTACTGGGGCATGTTCATATTCAATGTCTTACTTTTCTCTTGTTACTTTTGTACTCCTTCACATGTGTCTATCAATAGGCCCACACACACACACACAGTAGACAGACATTCTCTAATATAAATACTTCATGAAACTAGTGTTTAAATGTATTCTTTGTTTATTGTTATTGTAATACTTTCATTAATACATGCATTGTCATTGTTTTGTGTTACTCATTTATTACTTGGATTCACATTCAAGTCCTTAATAATTGTTATAGAAAAAATAATACCAGGAGACATGCATTCTCTACATAAACACAATAATCATTCATGCAACATTGCAAACTTTGTCATTTCTGTTTGTTGGGCACTTCTGCCATTTATTTACATTTAACCATGGCCACTCACTCTACACTAAATAAAAGAATAAAAGCAGAATGAAGCGTGGAACTTGACCATTAAAACCAGCAGTCAGTTAAACAGCCTTCTTCAGGGACAATAACTTCATTGATTAAGTTGATAAAAATTCTTGGTCTGTTCTGATTCTTGTAAAGATAGGGAATGGCAGCAGGTGTAACGGTTGGTGAATGGCCTGGTATATGCGTTCCCAAGCTTAGATCTTTTCTATTTTATAGCAGTATGGTAACAATAACAATAGTGTTAAAATTATGAGGACAATTTTTAATATCTGTCTATATCTCAGAGATGAAGTATTATGATTACTTACATTATTCAGACCGTTATCCTCATTTTCATTGCTATATTCACAACATTTTGGCTGTTAGACGCTCCAGCTTTCTTCAGCTGATTGGAATTTCAAACTAAACCTTTTATTTTGAGGAGAATTTTTAATATCTGTCTATGTCCAAGATGAGTTATTATTTACATTATTCAAACTGTTATTCTCATCTTCATTGCCATATTCACAACATTTTGGCCATTACACACTCTGGCCTTCTTCAGGTGACTAGAATTTCAAACTGAACCCTTTATTTTGACCACTGGGATAGATTGTTCTAGTTCCACGTGCTATGCCTCTTCCGGATGTCTCAGTTATTCCCCTTTAACTCAACTCTCCAAGTTGTTGGTTCACCACTGCTGTAGCCAGGTATTGAACTCACAACTCTTTGGGTCTAGTCACTGGATCTAACCAATGCCTTTATCCAAAAAATTGTGATAGTAACAACAAAAATGAGGACATTAGCCCCATTGTAAATAATAATAACTCCTTGTCCCAGAAATCCAGACAGAAATTTTTATAAGTAGTTTTGAAAACAGTTTTGATCAATTATAAACCAATATTTTAGGTGAATTCTATTGAAAAAAAAAAAAAAAAAAGTAACCTATTCTATAATATAAAAAATATAATACAGTATGACTGAAAAGTAACTATTTTATGCATGATAGACTCTCCTGTCTAACTATAATTTTTACAAGACAGAAGAGTCCATCATACATAAAATAGGGAGTTACTTTTCAATCACTCTGTATATTTGTTTGTCATGCAGCTTGGTCACCTCTTTTTAGAAATGAGATATTCCCTTGTTACAGTAACAGGAGACATTACACAATGCTGATAACTGAGCATGCTTCTGTTACCATAATAACTGAATTTCTCATCTGTAAGTGAGGGAACCAAATTATCAAAAAGCTGGAAAAGTGCAAGAGAAGTAACTATTAGAATAGTTATTTACAGTTGCATCTAGATATTTTAACAGTAAAATTATGAAACCTACCTGCCAAACTAGTACTGCACTTAAATTCATGAGGTCAAGGTAACAAAGAGAAAAGCTCATTAGCTCATTGCTGCAGTCACTACTTTTAGCTCAACTAAAAGCAGTGACAACTAAAATTTTCACATGAACAAATAAACAAACCTTGTTGGGAAAAAGTGTGTGTGTGAAAAATTTAGTCAGCTAGGGAAAGAAGTACTCCCCAATGTGAATGAAGACTTGTATGTCAACACTTACATTTTGGCATAAAAGAAGGAGGAAGAGGAAGTTTCTCTTCCTTCTTTTATAGTCCTTAAAAAGTGTCTTGAAAAACCAAGTGGGGGGTAACCCCCACATCATAAATAATAAGTAAAAGGAAGAGTGATAATTTACAATTCCTGAAAAATAAAAGCAAATGTAATTGCAATACTTATATTGTTTATAATACAGATCAACTCAAATATGTAAAAATGTAAGTTTAGTTTATATAATTAGTCAATTTGGCATATATTAATACAACAGTTAAAATTCTCAGATGATAACATTAAGGCATTTACTAAAATAAAAACACCAAACACTTTAAAAATCAATAAGTTCTTAAGAAAATATTCTTTTGGACAATAAATAAAAATGACTATTCAGTGAAAGTTTATTTAATGAAGGAAATCCTTTAATTTTAGTTGAATGTTTAAAACTATGAAAACTGTTCACAAACATGAGAAGCAATCATAATAACAAATGGTATTTGCTCGATAACTAGTTTCAATGAAACCGTTAAATTCAATCTTCATTTTATCGAATGATTCATTTCATTAAAAAACCAAAAAACAACAATCGTTAGAAAATCAAAGGGAGATAACTTTTAAATCTGAATAATGCTTTTTTTTTTTAAGTCATTTATTTCAAAATATTGTTGTTTGTTTACAATAATGAATATACTTTTCTCCATAAATTCATCATGTAATAATGTTAGTATTTTGGTTTTATTCTAGAAATGTTTAAAAACGAGTAAAAAAAATGGCAAAAAAAAAAAAAAAAAAAATTTTCTCCTATCCAAAAGTACACGCATTATTTTTTTCAGTCTTAAGGACATAAAAAGAGTAATATTACTCTTTTTATGTCCTTATTTTTGTATTTTAATATTTTTTTAAAATTATTTTATTTTCGTTGAAAAAAAATAAAAAGAATCAATCTCCTGGCTTTAACTGACTTCAACATTAAGTAATCCTCTTAAACAAAGCAGCTGATTTGTCAAGCATTCATTATCGTAACTAAGCAACAAAACTAGAGTGTAATTTTTAAATCATACATAATTTGAGAAAAGCACTATTCAGATAAGTTATCCCCCTTTGATTTTTTAGCCTTGAATTCGATTTGATTGCTTCAGTAAAATTCACTACTATGAACTGGACCCCACAAAAAGAACAATTTCTTTAAAAGGTTGTTAGTCTTATTAATAAATGGAAAAAAAACCGGCAATCTATTGATAAACTTTGGAAATTTATCATAAAAAAGCCTGGAAAATGCAGCGTTAAACTTAAGTTAAAAGATAAAATAAAAGGAAAACCTTTAGTTGCAGAGATTTCAAAATTATTTTTTCTTGGAAAAACTAATTTAAGAAAAATAAAAGCGAAAATCTTTTGAATATACTGGGAATTAGCATGAAAATTAAAAATAAAATACTATTTTAAATGTGGATGTGTGGTGTGGTGTAATAGATAACAGCTCAGGATGAGAGATCAAAGAGTCAAGCTCAAATTCCAGTCAAGTTTGTTACAATCACATGTGGGAAAGGTATGAATCTATCTCTACACCTTCCAGCTATGGGTTGAATAGCAACATAGACTGGTTACCAAATAAAGCCATAGAATCATGTCTATTACAGAAACAAATGGCAACCTATTGCGAGAAAATCTTCTGTCTAGTCAGTCATGAATCAAAAGAGACATGATTGGCCAAGCATGTGTTACGTATGGCACTTAACTGACTAACTTTAAATGTTCCTATTTCTTCTTTGCTCATTCTCCTTTTAATCCAGCTAAAATGAGATGGACTTTATGATTTGCAGGAATGAGAAACATAAATGTTTGATGCTTTAAACTAAAATCACAAAACGGCATGAACAGTTTTGGAACTTGAATGTTGTTCCCTTCAATAAATGTTCATGTTTACAAGTTTCCATTTACCAGATCAGGCTGAAAATTGGATTACAGCTGCTATATAAATAGGGTACGAAAGCATCTCCACATTCTTGTGGGTAATGAATTGTTTTCCACTCTACAATCTATTCACACACAAAAAATGTTGCAAGCCTCTCGTCGCTCTATTGCTATTTCCATGGAAAGTGTTCAGACGAACCAGATTCCTTAGTTCCATCAGTTCTAACCTTCTCAGCTGAGACCCACCATGCCACACACACTGTCTTCTATTGGTAAGATTTAAGTTCCCCTCTGCTTATTTCTACAAACTACTGCTTCATGGACCCAACTACTACAAGAATGATTTCCACATCACTACAATCTTAACCTGTGCAAGTCAAGCATTAACTGTTATCTTTCTCACTTATCCACAATAGATATCAGTTAATCTTAATTATGCATGATTTTGGACAATAACCTGAATGACAAAATTATCAGCATTTATATTAATTTTTTAATTTAATGATTTTTTTTTTTGTCATCATGTCATGAATAACCAATAAATATTGAAACATGCTGTACTGTGCTAAGGGAGATAACTGGGTCAAATATGAAGAATTATTTTTATTGCAACAAATTCATTGGCTATTATTATTCCTTTTGTAAATTGAACAAAAATGTCTAGCGGCCTAAAATTTTAGATTACAAAGTTCCTAGTTGAAGCTATTTTTTGATTAATATAAATATATGTATATCTCATGCATATATATATATATATATATATATATATATATATATTTATATATTTATATATCATATATTTATATATCTATACATATATATATATATATATCATATATATATATATATATATATATATATATCTATATATATATATATATATATATATATATGTCATATATTTATATATATCATACATATATATATATATCATATATTATATATATATATATATATATCTCATGACATATATATATATATACATATATTTATATATCATACATATATATATATATATATATATATATATATATATATATATTTATATATCATACATATATATATCATGCACATATATATATATATCATATATTTATATATCATACATATGTATATCTCATGCAAATATATATATATATATCATATATTTATATATCATACATATGTATATCTCATGCACATATATATATATCATATATTTATATATCATACATATGTATATCTCATGCATATATATATATACACACACACACATATATATATATATATATATATATATATATATACACATGTGCGTATATATATTTGATGTATTAGATAAAATACATTAAATATAAATGTATATGTGTGTGTGCATTATATAAATATATATTGTCCATTTCATAATGTGTGACGTCATTTGTTTACATTTGATATGCCATGAGCAGATGTGAATGTATGTGAGAGATTCATGGAAGATTAAAGTTTAAATACAGTAAATTTGACCTTGCTAACCGAACGCTCCTCTGTGGGCAAATTGGTAAAGGCATGTCAAGCTAAATGACAGTTCGGCATAGGATACAGGTTCGAATCCTGTCAGAGGACGAATATTTTCTGTGAAAATTTCTCGGACATTCAGGCCGGTAAATGTTGTTTAATACTGTTTATTATAAACAGAGCATTTACTTAAATATTTGTATCTATAAAAAGAATGTGTAAACATAAAAATGTCTTAAAATAATTGTCGGACTTTGTCCATTTCATATATATATATATATATATATATGATTTACTGCAAAGTTTTCTAGAGATTTCATTCTATTTGTTGTTACTACAACTTTTTACCAATCAACCTTCTTCAGGTAAGGTCTCATCAATTCACTGTTGAAATGGCTTGATATAACCTTAAGTTTTACGCTAACAGTTCCTTCTCTTACATTTCTCATTTGTGTAACTCTTCTTGTTTTAACTCTGATCTTCAAAAATTTAAATGCAATGTCAATTGTTAACATCTGTCCTATTTAATCTTCTTTTGTCGTCGCTCCTTAATAATGTTTTGGTTTTCTAATTCTTCCACACCCAGTAACACCTTGTTTTTTAATGGCTTTACTGCTTTGACTGTGGTGAACTCTATCAACAAAAAAAAATTTAATACCTTTTTTTTTTTAACATCTCACAGAATGCCATTATGGTATGACTGTTAAAATACAATTCAGACATTTGTCTTTTTAGCTGATTTTTCTCCTTAATTACTGTTATTTTATTGTTATATCTCCTTAATAATGTTTTCTTTTTCTCATATTTTCTCACACCCCTTGCATCTCAGTGGACTTATTGTTTTACTTGGGGTGAAATGTTTAAATTAAAAAAAAAAAAAAAGTAGAAAATTATTGTATCATTTCATCATCATTCAATTTATTAAACAATATTTAATAAAAAAAAGATTAATCAAAAATAAGTTTAGAGCTGTTTTAACTGAGAATAAAAACTTTATATAACAATACCTACCCAAATTATATTTGAGACCAGATGTTGTCACATGTTCACACAAACCACCAATTGGTATTAAACCACATATTTCATCCTCAAAGCCAGTATTTATTTCAATGGTATTCTTACCCTGGTAGATAAGAAAAATAATAATAATTTTAGTCTGAATTAGTATGAAAAATAACTATTAAATTATTTCATTGTGGTGTGTAATGAATATCGGTTCAGAATGAGATATCAGGCAGCAGAATTCAAATTCCAGTTAGGTCTGTTACATTCACTTATGCACACATACCCTTTTCCCCCCAGTTATGGTTTGAATAGCAGAACAGAGACCTGTAGCCTTGGTTGGCATCCAGTCTACCACAAACAACAACCTATTGCGGGAAAATCTTCTGCATAGTCAGTCATGAATCAAAAAAGACATGATCTCCCAAGCATGTAAAATGTATTGTACTTAACTGACTGATTGAATTAAACATTTTTCACTGACATGAAGTGGAACAATTATATTCAGTCAACTGCCAGGTCTGCTACTAGGAAAGTTGGTTCACTGTGTTGTGTTAGACAATTTCTCTCACCAGAGTTTTGCAACTTTATAAGTCTACCAATCATTCATACATTAAATATTGCTGCAATATTTGGTTTGGTTTTTCTGATATGTATCTAGAGATTCTTGACAAAATCCAAAGAAGAATTCCAATGTTATCAGTCCTGACCTGGCACCTCAGCTTCAGTCACTTTTCTGCCACTGTAACATAGCTCCCCTGTGCCTTTTCTATAAATATTTCATAGTAATTGTTCTCATAAGATTTCATCTTTGGTATCTCAAATCCACAAATTTGAATACAGTACTAGATTGGCAGTTAGGTCACATCATTTTACTGTTGAAATTGCCAAGTGCAAGCATAAATTCTATGCTAATGTTTTCTTTTGAACTTCTCACTTGTAGAACTCTTCCAACTTCTTGTTTTCATGTTAAAGACCTTCAAAGATTTAACTACAATGTCAATCATCTTCATCTGTCTCCTTGAACCCTATTCTTTTTATTGTCCTTTCTCCTAAATAATTTTTTCTCAGTTTCTTTGACTTGTAGTAACCCTATATGTCTTAGTGGCTTTATCAGCTTGTTTGGGATAAAAAAAAAAAATTAAACTGAAGTACCAGAAAATTAACAGATCAGCAATCTAATAACATATAGCTCTTCCTTTTACCTAAAGGGTGCCATGAAGTTATTGTACATGTATATCTATTCAGGTATGTACAGGGCTATCCATAATGAGTTATACATTGCAGGGAATTTATTGAAGTTTGTAACATCTCCCATACATGCACAACAGGGTTTAAATCTGATTACCGCAAGGGTCAATGAAGTACCGAGAAGTCAGTCAAGTGTTTCATGCAAGTAGTTAGCTAAAATAAACTATTATCACCAGGAAATACAATGAACATGAAGGAGTGTAGGAAATTCTTTTGTCTGGGTTTTATTTTTATATTAAAAAATCCAAACACCCAAATTCCAAACAATAAGATCCAAATAAAGAAAATATCGTTATGCCTGTTAAATAAATCATTTGTATTTAAAAAACATACATACATGAATTCAGAAGAGTCAAAAAGGAGTAAAAATAGTCTAGTTGAGTTAAACAATTTGTGTAGTTGGTTCCCAGAAAAGACTCATCAGTAGTGAAGATTCAAGGACTATTTTTGTTGTTGTTGAGTATGGCTCATTTGAAATTGCCAACACATGATCATCAGCAAAAGATTTGCTGGCCATCTTTGTTGTTGTTGGAGAGGATTCATTTGAAGTCACTGTTTCTTTTAGCATGCACTGTGGTGGAAGGTAAAAAGCTGTCTTCTGTTGCAGTAAGTTTGGAGACAGCTGCATCTCTCTTTTCGAAAGTTGAAATCTGTTGATTTTTATAAGTAATTTTTCCCAAAACTAGGCTCAAGAAAAACAGAACTTTAGTTTTCTCTGATTGGTCAAATATTTCACACAGTGATGTTAATTTCACTTTGATTGAAATATTGCCTGTTATTGGGTAGAAAATAATTGTGCATGTTTTAATATGGTATGTATGTGGATATGTAATTGTGTTGGAAATAAGGTTTATTAAGGAGTATTCTGCAACATCATCCATGTATAAAACTTAAGTTGCAGATCTGTACAACAATGGCACTAGATATACCACCTTTTTTTTGATTTATGACAACCCAACATAGAACTATAATGGTTGCAGAATGGGATTAACCCAGATAAATTTTGAGAATGCCCATACCCATCATCAATTCATCTCTTTGCAAATGTCTAAACCTGGGAACCTGGAAGCTTTATTGCTTTTTGGTTAAGTTATCCCAGATTCCAATCTTCTCAGGGCCTCTTTTAATTTTATAGGTTTAAATCCATATTTTTGCCTTGTTCTCAATTTCAATATATCAAAGGCCACTGACTTATGTTCCAAGTTATTCTGTCTTTCACTTTCAACTAAATCTTGCTTCAAATGCTCATCCAGCCATCACATGTGCTAATAAATACCGATCACATGAATTCACCTTGTTATACATGTATACTCTCTTTCTTATATATATATATATATATATATGTATGTATGTATATTTCAGCTGATCTTTATTCATGACTCAACAGAGAAAGCGATGGTTTGCTTTCATTATTTGTCAAGATATTGTTTCTTAAAGATCATCATGTCCTCTTTAAAGAGCTGGATGATTTGTTGGTTTTGATGTCATAAAATCTTTGCCACTTTATGGTTTTTGGTGAAATACCCAAAGATGAAATTTTCTCAGATCCTCAAGAAGACTGTTAAATGACCCAGATGCCAACACAGAGTGTATTTACAACATCAAAACCAACAATTCATCAGACTCTTTAAAGAGAGCATGAAAACTTTTTACAAATGATATCTTGACAAATAATGAAAGCAAACACATCAAGCAGCACAGACTCTAACCATGCATCTGATTAGAAGTGTATTATTGAATTGTTATGACACGACTTCTGTTGGTCTGACTAAATATATAATCTGGCACAGTTCTGGAACCATGAGTGGCAGAAAAAAAATAACTGATGGTGTACCTGTATATGCTACAATAATTACAGGATCAAATGATAATAGAATCATATTATTTACTAGTCCCTTTGTAAACTGCATCCCAGTTTTGCAAATTCTGTTAAATTAAGGTTGTCATATTTTTACATATAAAGAGAACTAATTAAATAGATTTAATACTGAAACTCTTCTGTATTTTTATGTATTTCAAATTGTTAGCAAAATTAAAAAGATTACTTATTCAAGATAAAAATGAAAATGTTAATTCTTACCTTAAACAAGAGAAACACAACAGATGCCTGGGATATTAAATAAATTTGGATATTAGCATCAGCTTTCCAATCCCTTATTTTATATAAAGTGTTGATGTTGCTCGACTGGTGATCGAAGCGGCCTCCTAAACCTCCAAGGACAATAATTCGTTCGATCTATATATATATATATATATATATCAAGAAAATATTTAAAATAGTTAAATAATCTGTGGATTTACAAAATTTTATTATGGATTTAAAAATTGACATTAAAAAAAGTATATATTTAATAATCTATATCTATAATTCTCAAAATATGTGTGTGTGTATGTGTGTGATCGGATGTTGTTTATGCATTTCCACAGTTTTCATCCGATTTTGATGACATTTTTTTTTGTTTGATAAATAATTCTTCAGTGCTGGTTTTGAGTTCAAATTGTTGGCAACAATGGCTCTCCACTACTTCCTGTCCATTATAACTCTCAGCAATGTTTTACTATTTACTATCTGTTCTTTCATAAAAACTTTAATAAAAAATAGTTTAAATTATTACAATAATATTATTTATTATTAAATATTTCTTGTGTCAGCCCCCCCCACTCAAATTGTTCTGATGAGCATGAAATTTGATTCAGACATCTGGTATTACTTACTTTGGTATCTCTTACAGTGAACCCACTACATATTTGGGTCACCACAGATTAACTCTTCTTTAGATAAAAATGTTCCTGATGGATATGAAATTTTATTTAGGCATTTGATATTTCCTGGCATGAACCACATATAATAATATAAATTATTTAGATGCTGAGATGTGACTAAAACCTTTTCAGTAATAATTTAGAAAAAAAACTTACCTCAAGTGACTTAATCTTGTTAAAAACTATTTTTAAACATTTTGTGAAGTCAGTGTAATTTTGATCTTGAGTTTCTATGATTTCAACATTCTGAAAATCATTTAAAATATCTATGAAAACTGAAAAACATGAATTAAAATACAGCTTTGTTGAAAAACAATTGCAATTGGAAAAAATAGCATAAAAATCAGGGCTGGATTGAGACAAACTGTTACATCTTTTAGGGTTTCAAGTTTACAATACTGAAATGAGAAAGAGGCTATTCTATAGATTAGTAGATTAGGTTGGTTAATTTAACAACATATCAATTATTTAATGATGATTATAACTTTTATAGGATTAAAATCATAATTAATAAAATAGGTAGATGTAGGTCCAAGTTTGCACTATAGTCAAAAAGTGAACGTATGTCCGATTTTGCAATAGAAACAAAAAACGTAGACATATGACTGGTTTAAACCACAGTTTGCAACTACCCACCCGAAAGGTGGCCTTTGGTGGAATGGATTGTAATGCTCTGCAGGAGATGCAGCTGACATATTTTAAGCACAGCCAACAAGGCAAAAGTAGCCTAGGGCCTCACTATGTCTAAATCTAGTCCAGACCAAGTCAGTAATGTTACATATGGCTGTGATTCTAATAAAAGTAGCTTTTTGTCTAACAAAAAAAAAAAACAGCAAAAAATGAAAGAAACTAATTTTCATCAAAATTACTCCATTATGAATTTTATCCAGTTATTCCAAGAGTCATTTTGACCAAACTTTTCCTCCAATGTTATATAATTTCACTACTATTTTACTAGGAGTATTAACAGACTTTATTCTCTAATATGTTCTTGCTTGTCAGGTCAGGCTTAAGTCTGCTACTGGTAACCTGTAATCCAGGACAGCCTGTCACATGGACAGGCAGTTGGCATCTAAACCAGCTCCCTGAGTAGCTTTTCTGCTGATGAGGAATTGGGGGGGGGGGACATTACTAGTTCGGATAATACATTTATCATTACAATTGGTTCCCAAAAATGTAAATTACTTATGTCTCCACTTCATATATTTACCTAGAAATATATGTGAAAATATCACAGTTTTCCTATTTTTATTTTCTGATGAATCTTAATTCTTCAGTTAATGATCGAATAGAGCTCATGCCGAGTTCTACAACAATAAAATATACACAGAAATTCACCTAACATATCATTAAATATTTGAACTTAACTTTAACAAAATATTGCAATAACAATCACAAATATGGTCGCTATATTAAGTAGTAAGGGGGTACAAATGAAAAGATTTGAAATTGACAACTTTTTCCATCTCACTGAAACAGACATTAAACATGTCTAGTCTTCTCTCCCATCTTTCTCACTGATACCAAGCAGTGCCTCTGATATGTCGTTTCTGTCTTTCCACAAAATCAAAACGGAATAGTCCATTATTTAAGAAATATTGGCAGGATGTAACGGTCGTGCTAAGAGAAGGACAAGCAGAATTATAATAAGATATTAGATTTCTAGAACATAAAACTTATGTTTGTGCTTTTTATTCAATAAAAAGAAATCTTATTTGTACAAAAGATAACCAATAAGAGATTGTTTACCAAATATTTTGTGTGCTAATATTTTCCAGAATTGTTTCATGAATATATTTTGATAATTAAATATGAAGGCTTATTTTATAAATTAAAATTGCTGAATAAGCAATGAATAAACCATTAACAGTTTCTGGTTTTTGGGGCCAATAGGAACCTCTTCTTGCCACTGTCAAACAGCAAAAAAATTATGTGGTTTGTACATGTTACAAGGCATAACAGTCTGTACAAAACCATCATGCAAGGCAGTGTTGAAGCTAGACATAGAAGAGGATGCCAATGCAAAAACTGGTTGGACAATATCAAACAATGGACAAATATGACTATATCAGAATTGCTGCTTGCTGCTGTTGATAGACCGCTGTGGAGGAGATTTAATATGGCTTCTGCATTTGGATCCCCGCTACAATTACAAAACTCAAGAGGATAATAATGATGATGAAATCATTAACTCACCTTTTCTTTGTAATAATCAAGTACTTCAGCTTTGATGGAATCAAAGTCTCCAGAAATTAAATCTGGAATGTAAGAGGATGGATCTCCACTGGCGTAAACCTGATTAGCACCACCATCCACAAAGGCTTTGAATGCAGCTAATGTAAAATCAAAAGGCAATATTACATTTTTACATTAAAATTAGAGAAGAGAAACCAGACACATACAGCATTAAAGGAAACTTAACTGATAACAGTAAGAAAGAACTTTTTCCTTAGACTACTATTTCTTTTTATCAAACTATTCAAGTTCAAAAAAGCAACTCATGTTTGTAAATAAGTTTATTTACAATATGCTAATGTAAGTTGTTTTTCTCTTGTGCCATCTAACTATAAAGTCTCAACTCAACAAAGTCTATTTCTCACACTTAATGGAAGCATGCTAAGCACTCAAAATATAATGGGATTTTCCACTTTAAATTTTCTGTTCAGTAAAAACTTGGTAACTATCTTATTTGAGTAGTATCTTTTGGAGTACTATTGTTGGGAGGAGTGTTTGTTGTAGTATTATCATTGAGAGTAGTATCTTTTGGAGTACTATCATTTGGAATAGTATCCTTTGGAGTACTATCATTGGGAGTAGTATGTTTAAGCAAATTAAAAAAAAATTATTTTGCTTAAGGAAATGTAAATTCTACTTCCTGAAGTTGTTTTTATCTGAAATAAGCAAATAAATTTATATTCTAACACAAGTAGATAAATTCAATTTGAAAAAGGAATTGGGTTAAAAAAAAAAAAAAATGCATAATAAAATTAATTAAAATTTTAACACCTTTTTTATATTTTGGGGATTTCTTTTTCTGGTAATGATGAATTATTACATTCTGCTGAGAAAGCTTTTTCACTGTACTTAAAGGGGGCTGCTGAAAATTTTTATTACTTACCAAAATCTAACCAAATGACCAAATATCAGGGGTTTTTTTTTGTTTCTTGTTTGGACCAAGAACTTTACAGCACCCCTTAGACAAAACCTTTTTAACCCTATATTTTTTTTAAATGTTACCTAAACATTAAAATTAATTTGGTCAGTTCGTTTCTCCTATAACATAATGAATTGTACTGATAAGGTGTATATATTAATCCAATAACGTGACATTGTTTAAATATTTGCTCTAATCGCAAAACTTGAGAGATGCGAATAGTAATTAGCTGAATAAATTTTGAAAAATAGGTCACTGAACAAAATGAGAAGGATTAATTTATTCTAAAACCCAATGTGATTATATATTTATCAATTATGCAGCCTGATCTCACCTATTTACTAAAAAGATATTCCGTTATGGTAAAAGAAGCATTACCTGACACAGATAAGCAAACATACTGGGTTGAACAATAGCAACCTATCCATATTTCACTTTCTTCCTTTAAAGTTAACATGGCTCGGTTTTGTGTGTTCATCGACCTGTTTATTTTTGTTGCCTTATTCCCTGTTAGGTGACAGATGTCAGTTTTCTAATGGGTGTGGGATGCCTTTTGTATATTTGAGTGTGATTTTTCATATTTGTTATTGTGTTTGGATAAAGACATGATTGTGTGAGTGTTTGTTAGAGCAAGTTGATTATTTTTGAATCCAGCATTATTTTTTAGTTAACCAATATTTTTACTATAGTTCGGATTATGGGGAGCTTCTATTACTAACAATGATTTTTTTCTTTAGTTTCTGTAAATGTAATTAAAGACATTGTAAAATACTCATTAGGGCACATATTTTTAAAAGGTGTTATTATTCCCCATCACAAGTGTTTTTTCCCACCCCCCAACAGAAGTAGATAGGTTTTTAGCACCCTGCTACCATTTTTTCAATATCAATTTTTGTACAAATCTGTGCAAAAAGCGGATCACAGACTTTATTCAGCTTAATACATATTTTCAGAAAACATCAACTTCTGATTGGTCACTTAATATTTAAATCATGCCTAAATATCAATGACAATTTCTGTGCAAAAAGTGGATCACAGAGCTTATCAAGTTTCATACATATTTTCAGAAAATCTCAACTTCTGATTGGTCACTTAATATTTAAGTAATGTTCGAAAAACATTGACCTAGTTCTTGACCTGACCAAAAAATAATTCTGCCAAAATCGGTCAATCCCCTGTGAACCTACCACGTGACCAAAGTTAGCAAAACATATGAAATGTCATTCATCCTCGACAGTGAGCCGATCGGAATACTTTGAACTCGTCACACCATTCCAGGCTTTACATTAAAGTTCCTTGACATAATTTCAGCCTGAAAGAAATACTCACACAGCAATATTTTATCACGAACAATCAACTCAAGTTTCCCACATTCAACTTGATACACGAATCTTTGTCATACGCTTTCAAGCTCAATGTTAATTATTGCGATTAACATAAACACAGCTTGTTAAGAATCACTTACTCCAAACTACAGAATATTCTCTTCAAATGACAAGTGAAAACAAGTCAAAGAGCGACTTTGTAAACATTAAAGTAAGTCGTGAGCAATACTTCTCTACTTTAAATACAAACTTGAACGGTTTATTTTTTCTTAAATTACAATAATACCCAAACACCTTTTCTTGTTATTGTACAGAGCGTTCAACAACTTATAATCTATCAAACCAGAACTTTGATAACATTTCAATCTAAACATAAAAGGATGTTTGAACTTTTTTTAAACTATCTTTTTACTTGGTTATATAAATATTTTATTCATTGTTGTACAAAAACTGTTGTTTCTCATATTTGTTCTTATTCTATGTTTATTGAATACTGAAATTTTAATGTGAGAGGAAATTGTTAATTTCATCACACAGCCAATTTACTCAACAATTATTGATCCATATAATTTAATCAAATAACAACCTCCACAGGTTCATCTATCATTCAATTATTGCTCCTCCCTGGTCTTTTTATCCCTTGTTTCCTGTTTAGGATTAATTTTCCGGTTCCTTCTAAAGTCTACTTCAACTCTATACTTTTAATATCTCTGCCTAAACTTTGAAATTTTATTTACTATTTATTTTTCCTTAATTGGAGTAGATAAGTTCACTTATCACCTGGTTCACACTCCTCCCTTGTCTTTTGAACAGGAGTAGAGGTTTATCCCTTGTTGCTTTTTTAGGATTGGGTTTCCAGTTCCTTCTCCTAAAGTCTTTTCATTCTCTTTCACTCCCAGTAGCCTCATGTGTTTTAGAGGCATTATCACCTTGCTTGGGGTGAATTGATAAAAAATTTTTTTTTTGTTTTTAAATTTAGAAAATCTAGTTAGAACTTCATGGAGAATTTGTGGTGTCATGGTGACTGTAGAAAGAATGGTAAGTAAGAATGTAATGTTCTTGTGCAAGGAAGATTATTGAATGATTGGGTCAGCGACTGAGGCTAAGTTAAATATTAGGACAGAAGATGACCAGCCCTGCTCCCAACTCAACCTTTTGGCCTTGTGCCATATTTTGTGTATTTACATGAAATATTCAAAACATATTCATAACAGCAAATATCTCTGAAGTAAGAAGAACAGGTTGCTAATATATTACTCTTTATTTCTTGTTTCATTTTAACTTTTTTTTGAATATCTTTATGATTTTAAAAAGCAGAAAATCGTTTTCTATATGACATATTGTTTAGTGTACAGATAAAAATCCAAGATTACTCATTCAGAATATATAAAAAAATACAACAGAATAATTACTTAAATTTTTTTAAGGGTATGTAATAAATAGCCAATTAACACTTCCACTGCTGTGGATGTAATGCATTTATGAAACTTGCCTGATGTTGATTAGTTGATTTTGTTTAGTGGCATATCAACACCTCTATTTAATGCCAAAATCTAAATATTTTGTACACAATTTTATGGCTTCAACTAGATATTTTGTACATAATTTTATACTTTCAGTGCAAATATATGTTTAGAAATATGCTTTGGAAATGATGTTTTGCTGATAATTTTACTATAAAAATCTATTTTTATACTTTAGTGCTGTTTTATCATTTTGCAATAAAAATGTATTACAACTGGTCAATTATTTCTTTTTTTTATATAAATATATTGCTGGTATTTTTACCATAGTGTATTTTTGTACTTTGTGAACCACCAAACAAAAATCAAAAGACTATTTTCCAATAGCTAGGACCCTACTAGGTGCTACCACCTCAAATCAGAGTGAACCTCGGAACATCAATTAAGAGGTGGTTCTACACTCCTCAAAACATCCACTCTCGATTAGAGGCCTTGCTGCCGGATGTAGTTTGTCGTCATACCTAGGACTACATTACCTGATGTAGATATATCATATATATATATATATATATATATATATATATATATATATATATGTGTGTGTGTATATATATATATATATATATGCACATGCACGCACACATGCATGCATGCACACACATTTTCAAGATACCATGAATGTCAGTCCTTAGAGTTTATGTTATAAAGTAATTAGTGATTAGTGCAATTTTCATACCAGCATAGACATATAGAAGTGTAAAATTTATTGTTTTGTGATATTTTTATTAGATTGTATGTTGGCAGTATTGTTTTGCTTAATTGATACAGCAGTATATCCAACTGAAATTATAATATCAGTGCCAATGAGAAATCGCCAGCATCTTTATAGTAACTTATTTCCAGTAAGTGGCAATTTTCTATTCCCCCCCCCAAATGTGCCAGCACAGCCAAGCAACAATGCTGTAGCGAAATAGTTAACATACATTTCCCTTGGTTAATACAGTTGCATTTAAAAAGACTATCACTAGCAATTAAAATCCTGAATGTGATTATTATTTCCAGTAAGTGACAATTTCCTATTCCCACACCAAATGGGCCAGTACAGCCAGGCAAAATACTATAACAATGCAGCAGTGAAAGTGTTAATAAATGTATATATGAAAAATGTATTGCTGATACAAAATAATCTTGTAAGTTACACAAGACTGAAAAATATAGGAAGAAGGTATATATTAGATACAGAACCATTTTTCCATAAAGTCTTGAACACTTTGATCTGTGGTTGGAGAGGCTGATTCAAGATGATCAAAGCTATCTGTTGATCTGTGAAAAGTAAACAAAATAATAGAAGTGTCATATGAAAGCCTTTACTCATATCTTGATAGTCATAAAGCAGTATTTTTAAAGCAAAATTGAATGTTAGCATAGTTTTATATAATATTAACATAGAAATGGATATGTGAGTAATGGTTCTAAGACAGTTGTATAATGGACATTTGCATCCATAGACAAATGTATCCCTGGATAATTGCATACCTCTGATAATTTTTTGAAGCTTTTAAAGGAAATTACCATAAATTTTGAAAAAAAGCATAGGTAGTAATCATAAATTTTTAAAAAAGGAATAAAAAAAAATTAAAAGTTTATTTTTGTTTAAAATGCAATGACAGATTAACAGTGTTGCAAGATTGCTCTACACATTGCCAGTATGTTTTTTTTTTCATTGACATTTTTCTTATGATAGTGGTAGCTGCAATTTTCCTCATTCACAAATATTTTTCCACCAGTGTTTGATTTTCAGAACTTAGCCATGGGTTCCAAATAAAAAATATAATCTATAAAACCCAGAATCTATTAGTTGTTTGTGGTACACACTGCTGGAATGAACTGAAACTGCTAGCTTAATTTTCTGTTGCTTTAAAAAAAGAATTTCTTCACTTTTTTTTTTTTTTTATTTATGGTAACTACTTTTCTGCTTGTTTAGAGTAAATAAAGCAATTGGTGTGCAAATTTCTATATTAAACAAATCTTTAAAAAAAAATTTGTTTTTTCTTTCAAAATTTATGTTAACTACCTCTTTGCTTGTTTAGAATAATTAAAAGTTGGTTTGTAATTAGCAACTCTTAAGAAAAGAAAGTATGGTAACTTCAAACAATTATCAGAGGTATGTAATTATCCAAAGACACGTCTGTCTAGGGACACAAATGTCCAGGTTGCAAATGCCCAGTACGCAAATGTCCATCCACCGTAAGTAACACAGTGGTTACTGAGTAAGAAAGTGGAATTGGCAAGCCAAGTTCAAATTATAGCTAAGTCAATTGCATTTATTTTCACACAAATGCTATTGCAAAAAGATATGAATCTACCTCTTCTTCCCTCAGCTATAGATTAAACAGATTTTGGAATACAGACTATTTAATGTCTATATAGCATCTATAAAATGGGACAGCTTGAGAATGGAACCAAAGCATAAAGATGATATCACTTAACATTTCATAACACAAATAATACATATACTCTGAAAATAATTTTATATAAAATTTAATAAATTTTGTGTACATAGATAGAGATAATGATGCTAATCATGTAATACTCACATGGATTTTTAAGTGGTGAAATTAAAATTTCATGTAAAAATAATATTTTGTACTTTCTGTACATGTACAAAAAAAAAAAAAAAAAAAATGATCACTACTTACAAAAAATACATAAATGCAGGACTTTGACATATTGAATAATATCTTTACTGAGCATGAAATATCTGGCAAGTAATCCATGAATGAAGAGTTTGCGGTGACAATCACTAACAAAAAAAAAAAAAAAAAAAATGGCGCCAACATAGGTTACATAGCTGGGCTTTCTGAAATTTTCCATCTGTGACAAGTCATGTTGGCACTTAAAAAAACTTTTGAATTTTGGAGGTTTTCAGATTTTTGCATACAGGATACTCAACCTGTAATAGGAAAAAACTGGCAAGACTTAAATTTACAAATGTTCTTGTAAATTTCTGTCTTGTCAGTTTCTTTCTATTTCTGTGTTGTTGCTTTTAAATGCCACTTGTAAATTTGACAGCCAAACTTATATGTGACATAAGGCTGAAAGTATGGAGCATTCAATGAGGATTGAACTCACTACTATCTTTCTAAGGCATTATTTACACTATTTACATGTGGACTATTGTCCTCATCTTTGCTATAGTTATCACAATGTTTCAGTCGTGCTTCTTCGGCCTTCATCAGATATTGATCAAGGTAACCTAGAGAAAATGCTGAACTGAACCTTTTATTTAATCTACTGTTCTCATTCCACTGCCCATGTCTAGGGATATCTCTTATTACTGCTCAGTTGTTGCACACCCTGTTTCCACTGCCAGCCAAGGGGATTGAATTCCCAATTACTATGTCACAAACCAATGTTTTAATCCATGAAGCTGTTGTCCTATGCAACAATTCTATCTGGAACTTGGAGCCTTAAGCCTAAGCTGCCTGTTGATGAGTGCTGCTGCTTGTCATGCCTGACTGGACACACTGAAGCTTTTCTCTGTTATGCTCTGTCATTTGTCTTTCTTTATTAGCAGCTCCCATATCATATTTCAATGCTAGGCCTACTAAGGGGGTCCTCATAACCTAGCATATGCACCAATTCTTTCATATGTCTAACTCTCTAGTGTTTTTCCTTGTCCAGTATTTTCACTTAATTCCACAGGTGTTGATGACTACACTTTTCCCTTGATACATGATCAGCCATGCCAGATTCCATTGTCTCACCCACCTCATTATGACTTTTCAATGTTCCTCCAGCCTTATGTTTAGAGGGTGTAATCCAAGTGTTAAGTTAATATGCTTAGTTAATTTTTTCAAACTCCCGCTAATCCTTACAAATTAATATAAAAATACCCAATCTTACATCAAGATGATTAAAGGGATTAATAAACATAATACTGGCTCTTCCTTGGTTAGCACATATGTTATGCTCTGCTACTACCTCAGATAAACAAATGACCATTCCTGTTTGATTGCTAGGATAGAAAGAAGAAAAGATATCAAAGGCACCAAGAAATTAGGAGACAATGAGTTTACTGTCTGCTTCAATGAAATGGCAAACTTGTCAATTTCAAATCATGTGTACTCTCTTATTTCTTTAAATAATGGCCTGCATTCATACATATTGAAAATACTTTTTAATTTTATTTATATCACACAAAGTTTTTGAACACATCTTTTACGGGTAGTTTTGTTTTCTGGCTATATTTCTAACAGACATTGTTTCAACACTCCTATAGTCTTCATTTTGCCCATATGCAAAAAAGATTTCTTTTCGTTGCATAATGTTTAACCAGATATAAAAAAAAATAGGTACCACCAAAATGAATGTTTTGTTCATTTTTTTTTTTTAATGAATGCAAAATATTTGCAAACCCCTGTTTTTTAAATATTTGCCAAAAGTCAGATTCAAACAAAATTTTTAGTTGGATTGGTTTGGTTTGTTTTATGGCATATCAACCTCAATGGGTTATTTAATGCTGTCATATGCCCTAATCGACAAATGGGTTTATAAGGCGATTTCATATGCCCCAGTCGACAAATGAGTTTATAAGGTGATCATACACCGACTAGGAGATATATATATATATATACATTCTCACACCTGTGGCGAAATACAAGCTATCTCTCCCAGATCATGACAATGGACAATTGGTAAACAAAAAATATTTTTAAGACCACTGTTCAATTGGGATAATCGAACAGTAATCTTTCCTATGTCCGCTTCATTTTCAACATGAATACTGATTCACAATAAGGCTTAGCAATTTTTGATACAAGAATTTTAATATGTACAAATATACAAATATCAAAATAAAAGAACAGATAAGTATGAGGTAAAACATCCGACAACCAGATCTCAAACTTACGTTGGGATATCAAAATTCGCCTAACACCAAATGGATTCAACTGAACCCAAACATACAAAAATATAAGTATGAATTACTATGAATTGAATGCAGAAGCCAACGCATACACAAAAGAGATGGGATAGGAGTTACAATTATTGTTTTGACATGTGGAAAGGTGTTTGCAAGAACATAATATTCATGGATGTATGTATATCTTTCTATTACGGGTCCAAAATATGATTACTTATCTTTTATATTCAGTTCTTTTTTTTATATCAATGTCCTTTCTTTTCTTTTCTCGACACAAACACAATTTCACACTGTCCGGCTGTAACAGAGGTATACACTTTCTTCCTCTCTTTATTTTGCCTTTTTCCTTCCTTCCTTTTTCTTCCATAGACAGTTCGGTTTCCAAACCCGGCTCACTGCAACAGGGATGTAAACTTTCTTCCTGTCTTTGGTTTTCTTCTCTTCATTTTTCTTTCTTTACAAAATTCAACTTGTAACAGAGATATATACTTTCTTCCTCTCTGGATATCCTTTTTCTTTTCTTTACACAATTCAACTTGTGACAGAGATATATGCTTTCTTCTCTGGTTTTCATTTTTCTTTAAACGCAGACTGAATCCTCAGCGTATAAATTTCTCTGCGTCTTCAATTTGGGGTTCTCAAACAGGAATACTTCTTGTTATATTTCTTGTCCGGAGTTGCCTGGGTTGAACTGGATAAGTTCCATCACTATCAAATGAGTCTTATCTTTCCGTTCATAAACTACCAGCACTTCGACTTCAGGTCTTGCCTCTTCAAAGTCAAGATAGCAACTGATTCTCGAGTGAATCTCTGTCTTAAGTTTTGGCGTGAATTCCAGCTTACATCAGTCCCCTGTCTAGCTTCTATCTAGACATTTGTCGCTCCAGGTAATTGGGTCAGTCAACCTTTTGACCTGCCTTCCCAAAATGTCATAAGACTCCCACGTGACCTTTATTCTGTTGCTAAGCGGAAATTAACCTTAATAGATACGTGTATAGGCTATCTGCTTTCATCTCAAGCGATCATACACCGACCAGAAGATATATACATTATCACACCTGTGGAGAGATACAGGCTATCTCTCAGATCATGACAATGGACAATTAGTAAACAAAAAAAAATATTTTAAAGAATACTGTTCGATTAGGATAATCGAACAGTAATCTTTTCCCAGGTTCGCTTCGGTTTCAACACGAATACTGATCCACAATTCAAGGATGAACGATAAGGTGTAGTGAATTTTGATATAAGAACTTTAATATGTACAGATATACAAAATATTAAAATAAAAGAAAATATAAGCATGAGTAAAACATCCGACGACCAGATCTCAAGACTTATGTTGGGATATCAAAATATGCCTAACTCCAAATGGATTCGACTGAACCCGAACGGATAA